GCCAGGAGCAAACTGCTGCTCTCCTAAAGTCGAACCAGGAGCAATCCGAGCGGATGGAACAAGTACTAAAACGGATGGACCATTCAACTGCTCCTTCGATGGCTGACTACTCAGCACTTTCGTCGCGGCTGCCGTATTTCAGCTACGATCCGGACAGCGGGTGCACCTTTGAGAGCTGGCTATCGAGATTCGAAGAAATCGTCCCGACGTCGATGCCAGAGAAAGACCGCTGTACCCTCCTGTCCGCGAAGCTGGATAACGCCGCACACGCCAAGTTGAGAGGGCATTTGGCCCCGAAATCACCGCTGGAGCTCTCCTTCGAAGAGCTAACGAAAGTGCTGACGTCACTCTTCGGTGAAAGAACAACGCTGTTCCGACGTCGATGGAACTGTCTTCACGTAGTGAAGGACTCTGCAGAAGACGTCGAATCGTACGCTGCTCGACTCAACAAAATGCTAGTCGATGCCAAAGCAGACGAAATGAAAGGCGAGCCGTTAAAGTGCCTACTTTTCGTCATGGGATTGCAGTCGCCATGCGATTTGCCAATTCGGGCTCGACTACTAAGCAAGCTGGACGCCGAAACAGATAACTACAAGCTGCAGGACTTGATTGCCGACTACACCGCCTACCAGTCCGTGCAGAAGGATGCTGCCCTCATTGGATCTGCATCGGCGCCCGTCCAAACTGAAGTCGTCGCTCCTATCCGGAAGAAGAAGCAACGTCGACCACCGCCGCAACGTACCAGACGCCCATCTGATAGCAAGGATTCGTCTGGACGCTCCCGCCGTGATGACGTGTGCTACAACTGCGGAAACAAGGGACACTGGGCCAACAACTGCCCGTCAAGGAACCGACCAGTCCGCCGTTCCATGAAAAAAGTTGTGAAGCTGAACGTGCTGAACTCCCACCGTCGTTATGTTAACGTCAAGTTGAAGGACCTGGATGTAAAGATGCAACTCGACACCGGTGCCGACGTATCGACGATCAGTCGCAGGACGTGGATGGAATTAGGATCGCCAACCCTGAAGGCCCCGCCTGCGGAATTGAGAGCTGCAAATGGATCACAGATAGAAGTGTTTGGAGTTCATGAGACGCCGTTCACATGCAATGGTTTCGATGGCCAAGGATTATTTTACGTTACCAAGGACTTGTGTTTGCTAGGAATGGACATGCTGCAACAGCTGCCGCCCTTCCAAGATGCCCTTTCGGCTGTTTGCTGTGTTGTAGATGCCTCTTCACCACTGGACGACCGCCTCGTGGCTGAGTTCCCAGAAGTCTTCAAAAAGGAGCTGGGACACGTTAACAAGTTCAAGGCTCACCTGGTGCTGAAGAAGGATGCCACACCCGTCTACGTGCCGAAACGGAAGGTACCGTTTGCCGTAGAACCTCTCGTCAACGCGGAGTTGGACCGCCTCGTCGCTACTGGAGTGCTGTCACGCGTCGACTACTCTCAGTGGGCCGCTCCGATCGTTCCGGTGAAGAAGAAGAATGGAGCAGTACGGATCTGTGCCGACTTCTCCACCGGGTTGAACGATGCATTGGAGCTGAACCGACATCCACTGCCAACCGCTGAGGACGTCTTCACGAAGCTGAATGGAAGAACCGTCTTCACCAACATCGACCTGCGTGACGCCTATCTGCAGGTAGAGATGGACGACGAGAGCAAGGAATTACTGACCATCAACACATCCCGTGGACTCTTCCGCTACAACCGACTACCTTTTGGTGTGAAGAGTGCTCCTGGGATCTTCCAGTCGTTGATGAGCAACGTCACCGCCGACATCAGTGGAGCCGTCGCTTATCTGGACGATGTTGTGGTCACCGGAAGGACTCGTGAGGAGCACGATGCAAACGTTTTCAAGTTATTCCAACGTCTTCAAGACTATGGAATGCGTGTTCGCCATGAGAAGTGTCATTTTGCTGAACCTAGCATAGTATTTCTCGGATTTATCGTCGACGCGGAAGGAAGACGCCCCGACCCTGAGAGAATTGCCGCCATCGCCCATATGCCGCCACCCCAAGATGTGAAGCAGCTCGAGTCTTACCTTGGGATGGTTTCGTTTTACTCGTCTTTCGTGCCAAGGATGCGTTCACTTCGCGGACCGTTGGACGCTCTGAAGAGGAAAGACACACCGTTTGTCTGGAGTAAGGAGTGCCAGGAAGCCTTCGACCGCCTTCGCGAAGTCCTGACCTCGGATCTTCTGCTGTGCCACTACGACCCCAAGAAGCCGATCATTGTTGCAGCTGACGCAAGCAACTATGGAATCGGAGCCGTGATTTCTCACCGCTCTCCGGACGGATCGGAGAAGGTCGTCTGCCATGCGAGTCGCGCATTAACGGCACCAGAGAAGAACTACTCGCAGATTGAGAAGGAGGGATTGGCCCTAGTTTTCGCCGTTAAGAAGTTTCATCGTTACATCTACGGACGAAAGTTTACTCTGCTTACGGACCACCGCCCCCTACTCACCATATTCGGGAGCAAGAAAGGAGTGCCGGCCTATACTGCCAACCGTTTACAACGATGGTCTATGACACTACTTGCCTATGATTTCGACATCAAGTACTGTTCTACGACATCGTTTGGACAGGCTGATGCTCTCTCCCGACTGCTTTCCTGCCGGAGTGCGCCGGGCGAAGACGTCATCATCGCTACAGTGGAAGCTGACGTCACTGCCACTTACGAGGAAGCACTCAACCAGCTGCCAGTTACAGTGGAAGACGTACGTTCTGCTATGGAAAAGGACCCCGTGCTGATGGAACTGTTCAACTGCCTCCAAACAGGACGGTGGCCAAACGCGCTTCCGGGAACGCCGTTGTTCAACTACAGGAGCCAACAAAAGGAGCTCTCTGCTTACAACGGATGCATTTTCTTCGGATCGAGGATCGTCATACCCGCTTCGCTGAGGAAGAAGATTCTTCGCATGCTGCACGACAGACACCCTAAGCAAACCCGGATGAAACTGCTTACTCGCAATTACGTCTACTGGCCTGGTATAGAAGAAGACGTCAAGAAGACTGTGGAAAGATGCCAGAATTGCCAACTTGCCGCCAAGAATCCAGTAAAAGCTGAACTAACTCCATGGCCGACCGCAAGTCGCCCGATGGAACGCCTGCATATTGACTTCGCGGGACCGCTCTATGGACATATGTACCTCGTTGTCGTGGACGCGTACTCCCGCTGGCCTGAAATCGTGGAAATGCAATCAACTACGTCACAAGCTACCACGCAGGAACTCATGAAGATCTTCAGCCAATTTGGATTCCCAGATACGCTTGTTTCGGACAACGGCACCCAATTCTCCTCACAGTTTTTCGAGGATTTCTGCCGGAAGTACAGGATCAAGCACCCCGCCATTCCACCCGCAGTCGAATGGGCTTGCTGAACGCTTCGTCGGAATCTTCAAGAGAGGACTCCTGAAGCTGAAAGGAGAAGGAAACCTTCCGGAAGCCTTGTCGAAACTACTACTCTGTTATCGCTGTACGCCCTGCCCGTCTTCGTCTGAAAATCGTTCGCCTGCCGAGATGTTTCTTGGACGCACGATTAATACTCCGCTTACACGTTTGGTCACTGACGCTCGAACTGTCACACCAACCTACTCCCCCGGATCGAAACCGGCGATGGAAGCAATGTACAACCGCCGACATGGAGCCAAGAAAAGGAAATTCGAAGTCTACGATGCCGTCTACGTTCGCGACTATCGTAATCCATCGAAGCCTACTTGGACTCCAGGACGTGTACAATCAAGGATTGGACGCTCACTCTACAACGTGGAAGTCGAAGGATTTTTATGGAAACGCCATGCCAACCAACTACGCCCTCGCACGGTCCCGGACGCCGCCACCACGCTGTTAAAAGAGTTCAACCTTCTAGATTTTGAGCTCCCTAAACCGTCGCCTGCCGTTTCCGCTGATGCGCTCGCTTCCCAAGACGCCAATCTCGATGATGAAACACCATATCCCGATATCTCAGCTGCCGATGCCGAATCCGTGGACGCCGATGTCTCCGCCACTCAATCGTCTCCACCGCCACTTCGCCGCCGGCCGCAAAGGACACATCGACCACCATGCCGCATCGTGATCGACCCGTCAAAGAAGCGATACAATTGATAACTTAAGGGGAGAGATGTTGGAGAGTAGCATTATATTTGTTATTGTTTGTTTGTTGTTGTTTAGTGATCTGATCTATTGGTGTTGTATTGACCTATGCGCGGGATCTGAGCGCTATATAAGGCGCTCCCTGCTAGCTAAGTCATTCGTTCGTCTCGTCTTATCGTCTTGTTCTTATTCATATCCGGTCTACTAATAAACCTATTATTCTACAAGTGTCCCGGACCCACCACAAGTACAAGTGCAAGTAGAAAACTACAACAACACGATTCTACTTGTACTTGTACTTGTGGTGGGTCCGGGACACTTGTAGAATAATAGGTTTATTAGTAGACCGGATATGAATAAGAACAAGACGATAAGACGAGACGAACGAATGACTTAGCTAGCAGGGAGCGCCTTATATAGCGCTCAGATCCCGCGCATAGGTCAATACAACACCAATAGATCAGATCACTAAACAACAACAAACAAACAATAACAAATATAATGCTACTCTCCAACACTTTGAATATGCACTTTTTTGGAAAATATGAATAAGCCCATTTCTGCAAGACTGAAGCATTGCAATTTAATATGGGTACTGATTCTGGCTAGGAATTTCAGCCACTTTCAACATTTTCCATTCCTTGCAATTCATGTGTTGATCTCTGATCTCACCAATTTTCACTTGAGTGGAAAAACGCTAATGGTTGTTTACTCGCAATAATGCGGGATTATATATTTCGATGGTGATCACTAGTTTACAACTCTATAAAAATGGACCTATCACAATCGTTCATTCTTCTGGAAAACACGTCATCACCTTTTCATTCAATATTCCCTGCAGCTTGGCATTTGATATAGCATGCAAACGAACAATGCACTAGTGACAAATTCATTCATTTTTCAGAGAAACATGCTGGTATACCTGATAATTTTCTCTCTTATCAACTTCACTTTTCCGCAAGATTGTTTTGCTGGATTGAACAACTTGCCAAATTTGGAACAAGTCTGTATCCCTCACATCGTTTCACATACCACTGTGGTAATTTAGCTACGATTGTGCATTCCTGTTGGAGAAGATTGCATACAGCAATGCGTTCAGGACTATGTTGCTGCTGTAGTGTCCAATCCCATGAATTCAGCAGGAGTAAGTAATGAACATTAAAATTTGTCTCAATAGCTCAAAGATGGTAGTTTCAGTCAAATATCGACACACCAACGGTGGTTGAAGCGGTGAAATGTGCTGCACGCAATGGAAATTGAATTTCTCCGTGACTATTCCTTGAAGGTATTTTTGTTATACAAATTTGTTCGTAGCATAAACTGTATTAGAAAAAATGTAACTTGCAGCTTCAGATGAAAGCTTTGTGAGAAAGTATCAAACTGAGTTGTATTTATGTGCTTAACTTTGATATAAATTCCTCAATCCCCGCTTTTGCAATGATTTTTCCTCTGTTCCAACACAACTAACTAAATCGTTGACGCATTAACTAAACAAAGAAAGGGTACCCCCGAAATTTATACGAGCAGGACGGGTGCACAAAGGAGCACGAAGCTTTACATAGCGCAAAAAAGTTCACTGCCGCTTCTATTGACTTTTTTGATCATAAGAGGAAAACAGACACAGCAATGGGACGGAATTGAAAAGAGTACAAGATTAAGACAAAAACAAGCGAGATCTTTCAAAGAAAACTACTGAAATCGATCATTGTACCAATTTGGCTGTGACCAACGATCATTGTGCCAATTTGGCACTTCGATAAATAGGCATACAAAAAAGTTTCGTTATTCCAAATGTCCATCAGCGATAAATCAGATGGTCATATGCCTCGTGTTGATGAAGCGATCAATCAAGCAATAAATCAGATTTTCATAATCACGCGTATGCACTTCGTTTATAAGAATTTTTTGGGTAAAATAATGGTGGCCGAGGCTGCATTACTAAGTTTAATAATTGATTGAAAGATCTATATTAAGGATACGGCGTCTTCAAAACCCTCTGCGGGCTGCGCCAAACACACTCTACTTTATTGTAGAAAAGCTGCTGAATGCGTGCGAGCCTTTTTACAGTGACCATAGTCACTGTAATAATTAATCTAAAATGTTAATTATTAACAGTGCAGACTCGCGCCAGCTGATGGCTCATCTCCACTCCTGACAGGGCTTCGACGAAGGTGACGCCACCGAAACGTTAGCCTAACTCTTAGGTGTAACAATCTGGATTCCAACTAAAGAAGACAATCACACATCAACAGTATTTGTACTCTACATACAGTTCTCTAAAAACGCACAAGCTGTTAGACAGAATGAGGGAGTAAAATTGCCGTTATGTTATGAGCGAAAGTATATATCCAGATCACCTTCCATTTTCCTCAAAATCAGATTTCGTGAGCAAATCAGAAGCACCGCGAGGCTGTTTCAGCAAGAATCTTAAGTAGTTCCCATGCGAGAATTGCGAGACCCTAAAATAAGAGCACTTTCATTCTGCCTCGACGACCGTGTATGACACATCAATTTATGGAAGTTCCCACGTATCTAAAACTGCTTTGGATTGCTAACTTACAGAAAATGTCAAATCTACTGATTGTTTTGTTTTTAGTCAAGAATAGGATTGGATGAGCATGTAATTTGCAACAGAAGCCATCCCTTTGAAAATATTCAAAACCACTGTATTGAAGGGACTGAATCCACTCGAGGTGCGAATATGTTGATTGTGCGGAAGAACTGAAGTATGTAAGTCGGTTGTCTTTTACATTCAATAACCACCAACAATGTCGATTGATTCTACTGCTTATCACTAATTGAAAGCACACTGTAAATCTGCCTATCACTTTCGACGGCATTCAATTCGGGAGTCAAAAAGAAGTAGTTTCGTAAAGTCTAGCGGTTAGGCATAATCTTTGCGCACTTGCCGATAGCTTGCTAAATGTAGCAAAAACCGCGATATCCAATGATGCAAAAATCACAATAACCATTTTAACTTGTTTTCTTAAGCATATGTTAGAAGTTTAGATAATGCCGCATGATCGGCTATCACGCATTATCGCAACTTGGTGGACAGAAATAAAATTGGGGGGCACTTCTGATAAAGCAAAGCAAGCTCTGCAATATGAATTACAAACATTAGCACCAAGCCGAGCGCCTAAAATTTGAAAAGAAAAACATGTTTTCGTCTAGAAATATTCTAGGAATTCTCAACTAGCTCATGCATAATCTTTCCATAATAAACGCACGTATGCACAGTTTCGTAATTTCTCCATGGCTAAAAACTAAAAAGCGCGTTCCTTTGCCAAAGCAATCCTTAGCTTCACTCAGTTAAGTAAGGTAGTTCTTCGTTATGCGGGCCATTTAAGTCCCTCGTAGCAAATTTGGTCCCAACTTCACAGGAAGAAATTTCGAGATTCTGCCACGTGTCAAAAAGAAATCGACGTGTCATAAACATGTTTGACAGGTTTCACCAAAAGTTTGTGTTGGTGAAACGAAAATTAATCGGATTTTAATCAAAAATAAGCACAATTTCGATTAAACTATCAAAAGTGAGCGTCACTATAATCATAACGTCATCCTGTTATAAATGAACAAATCAGGCTCGCCTAGTATAAAGAAATGAGCTAGGGTTCCATTACCTAACTAACGAAATAAGCAGCAACGGGGTACTTCAAGCCATCATTTACAGTGTTTTTCCTAGCTAAAATCGCATAGACTTTGAAGAGATCGACATTTTCAAATCGTTGCTGAGAGTAATCAATATGTTCTATAGGTTTGTTCTATAGCTATATATAGGTTTTAAAGTGATTTGTTCTTACAGAAAACATTCTGAACAGCACTTACCTTACATGATCTTGAAAGAAGCATGTCAAATGGACCAAGACGTGCCAATGTTGTCCTGACACGTGGCAGGGAGGCAATCAGAATTTATGAAAAATCGTTCTTACAATGGAAGGATACCAGTCTCAGGGGCGAACCGAAATGGTATGCACATTATTAGGTGCGTCTTGATAAGCTCATTTCAAATCTACTTTTCTAATCAGCTAAGAATCTTTCTAGAAGAAGCTGTAAGCGTTTGAAAATGTGAAGATATTGGGATTTTCATGCGTAATGTGCTTTGAAAACCAGCTTGGAAGTGGTTAATTGGCATGGTTTTGAGTACATTGACTACAAGGAATGCCTACACACACCGAAAACGTAAATGCATGTGTTTTTGAAAAACTAATTTTACAAGATATGGCACTGAATTTCTGCTAAATTTGGACATTCAGACGCTCTTATCCTCTTACAGAGAAAAGCCTAGCAAATACGGAACCTAGATTTGGAATCAGCTCATCAAAACGGATTCAAGGATATGCATATCATTTTGATTCGCCACTGCTATCTGGTCTATTTCCCTTGTTAGACCAAAAAACGTATTTATGAGAGCCTTTTATGAAAATATCCGGATAGGAAAAGCACTGGTAATTCTAAAGTATAAACTTTTGAAAGTAAAACCAAGGTTTTCCAGCTTTCCGAAATTTCTGGTTTTTTAAGAAATATTAAAACTATTGCAAGAAAACGAAATATGAGTCATGTTCCGCACTTTTAACCTATTTTTGTTTCTCTATTCTAGCCATAAACAATTCACAAGCTGTACATGTGACTGTCTCACGAAGAAGCACATACCTGCGCAAATGGAAGACCCAAGAATTTTGATTTAGATGTTATATTTTTAGGTTTATTTACGCTTTTTTGGGTGGGTCTAAGTTGTATATATTGGGTTGTTTCATAAGTCTTTTCATAATCAATTCTTTACAACTATAAGCTGATTCTTCGCAAAATTCTCATGGTCGATGTATCTTTTAACCCATTGACGACGACGAATTTTGCGTGGCTGCGCTGTGGGACGACGCGATTTTGCACAACATTTGAGGCGCGGGAAAGTTTTGTGATTATTTACGAAATGTAAAAATGTTTTGTAAGCAACTACAGCCATCTTCTTGGACGACGAAGTCTATAGGTTCCAATAGTGCAAAGAACTGGAAAAAATGGTGAGCTCTGGAAAAAATACTAAACCTGGAAAGGATATGATTTTGCAAGGTGTGTAGGCCACTGGTGGTCCACATCGTCCCTGGCGGCAAAAAGTGTGTGGGCCACCGGTGGTCCACATCGTCGTCAATGGGTTAAGGAGCAAAGCAATCTATACATGATGAGTTCAAACATCTACACCAAGTGAAAATTTGAATTCGAAATCCAAAAATATCCAAATGCCCAAAAATGTAGAAAAAAAATTGAATCTTTGTCCAAAAACGTACACTTCCACATCAGATATTTATGCATACAACTACTGCAATTTTTCCATTGCCACCAACATAGAAACCGAGAAGATAAAAATTTGCATGCTTTCGTAAAGGCTATGCTTGGTTGTTCCTACGTAGATCTATAGTATGAACTTTGTGAGTATTACTTTGAATTTTCAGCCATCTATTTGCTTTACTTTTCGAGAAATAATTAACTTAACATTAACCCCCCCCCCAAAAAAGCAACATTTACTGGGTTTTTGGTAATTTTTGGCCTATTTTGGCTTTTCGATTTCTAGCACAAAAAGATTCAGCAAGTTAAACATGTATTTCTGATGTGGAGATGGGTTCTAATAGCGGACACAGAATCTATTTGGACTAAGGTTTTTGAGCATATGAATTTTTAGATTTTGCTTTCAAACTCTGCGGGGATTAAACTTGTAACTTCCTAATGCAGTTTTGTAGAGCTTGCTTTGCCCTATCGAAAGATACGTCCCACATTATATATCTACTTTAAAGCAACGTAATGCGCGCATCAACAGTACAATTTCTGTGAGCTTCCGTCTTCACATAATTGCCGGCGGCAATTTTATCTAACACGCGCAAACGCTAGAAACTCAAAATGTTTACAGATTTGATAAATTTATGAAGTGTCTCATTTTTTAGATATATTGCGCTTAGAATGAGATTATTGATAACCAAAATACCCAAATGTGTCGATTGAAATGGCGTGAGGTGTGCTCAGGGATTGGAAGTTTCTGGATTACATATTTTGCGCAATTCAGAATGTGTAACAAACAACGTGATCATTAGCTTACATGGAAAGGCATTTGACTTAAAAACGGCCTCTCTCAACAAGATGTAGACCATGATGATCGGCTTCAAGCTTACTCCATATGCTTTGCATATCCGTTGAATGCTGCTCATTACAAGATGTGACAAAATTTTATTGCGTTCGAGTGGCACTTAATATGGTCGCTTGGTGCAGGACCAAGTTAGAATCGTGGCTAC